TTCTTTTCCTTCATTCAGTCATACCTGTTCTAAACCGGAATCCCCACGTTAAAACACGAAGCCATGATGACAACCTATCAGGTACATCGGTAAAGGTAATATTTAACTTGACATCAACAGACTTGTAACAATATCCAGTCCCCTGTCATGATACGATTAGTGTAACTGAAGTTAAAGCCGAGGGCCTGATACAACATCAGACGAAAACCCATCTACCTCGACATGTGAGGCCATCAAGCTCTATTCCAACATAATCTCAGCCAGATGAAAATTACTGAACTTCAAGCAACAACTCATGGATTATCTAGACCTGTTTAAAGGCTGATATTCGGGCCATAAGTCTACAGCAAATGTCAGTAAAAATTCCCAAATTGGATTAAAACTTCCTCTATTCATGTAATAGTTATAATAACTGATGTTATGGCTTTGTAGGCATGGTAGAGGTGACATGTATTTCACTGACCAAAACGAGAGTCTTTCATTGTTGCAATGAATCCAATGTTAAAATATATCTCTGTACTGTAGAAAATATGATTTTGCAAAAAAAACAAATTTTGAACAAAATGGCTTTTTTTCCCCAAATTGACTAACAAGGGGATTTAGTTTGGAATTCCAGACAAATCCCTGCAAAAACGTGTAACACCATTACAATACCAACTCCAGATGAATCTACCTGGGAATGACTTCTTTCATGTCATAACATCACGTTTGGTTTTAGATAGTTTCAGTTCCTAGGAAGTATATTTAAGGCCTAAAATTCAATGTAGGTGGTCCAAAATATGTTTTTTGATTTAACTTCCAGATTATTAGTACTGCTACTAATGAATGAAACAAAAACAACACTTTAACATGGCACGATTCAAATACATAACTGATTTTTTTGGTTAGAATAAATATTATTGTATACCGGTATGTATTACCGGGGTATGCACCATTTCTTACAAACAGCCGTGATAAAATCTCTTGTTCTTTTATTACTGCACCCAGTTGATACACGGACAGAGTTGGCAAAAACAAAAATTATTAAAAGTCATTCTATTTATTTCTAATTTCAAAAGTGTTTTTGTAAGTCAAATATGTAAGCCATTTGGGCTGGGACGAGTCCATGTTTACTCCTCGGGTACCCACCCCCAATTACCCGACCTGACCCTACCAAGGAACCCGCTGTAGGTCTCAAGAGATGGGTACAAAATGTCTGACTGGGAATAGTTTGACCGTAGCCCTGGACAAAATGTATTAAGATACACGTCTAATATGATCTAGTCATGCATACACTGAAGTCGACTAAAGTTTTATCTTTATTCAACATATAAAAAGTCAGAAGGAATGGGTGCATAGTCAGAAAGAAATGCGAACATTAGTGACTTGTACTGTGACCATATAATTCTAGATCATTTTTATCATTAAACAATATAACCACGGGTCCGGGTAGTCCTGTGGGTACCTGGGTCCTTATCAGTACCCATCCGACACAGGTACCCGAGTCACCCATCCCAGCCCTATAAACCATCTATACAAATGAATGGCATTACACCTCCTTTCCAGTCCACTCCCAATTCCCTTCTCAACTTTATCTGCCTGTACTTGACCCATTCTCAGGTCTAGGCTGAAATATAGGCTTCAGGGTTCCTTAATACTTGAGGGTTGCCTTATACATGTTTTATACAACTTAATTTCAGGGACCATATGTTAGTCCAGCTTTGGCACCAAGTTAACTTGCTCTGAGGGTTATATTTGCTCCTGCTTAGCTCAAAATGAGGACCCTGCATGTCGACCTGAAAATAGTAAGTTATTCATTTTCTTGAAAAATATCTCAGTTACTTATAAATTTTGTCACTTGAGAAAGTGTGTAACAGTGTCGAAATCATAAGAAACATATGCCGCCATAGCCTCTATCACACACAGTACACAGGGTACATAATCTCAGTATCATGTGTATCATGAATACGAAATGAAAGAATACCATACCCCTATCATAGTGCAACACTATGTGTGAATGGCAACTCTTTTTTCAGTATTTCCTTCAATTAAAAACTATTAATGCAATTTCCTTAGCAATGCAAAAGAGAGCATTTTTAACACTGCAGGTAACTCAAGACATGAAACAAACCTATTCAATAACTGGCCACACTGGATATTACTCAGGAAGATTATCAAAGAATACACAGTCTTATATACACAGTGTCTATACCTTATTGCAGTGCACTTGAGAACATGTTTTACCGTGCAGGTAAGTCAAAGCGATAGCAGGTGTTCGTGAAAACAGAGCAGTTACCAGCTGGTGACATCGTAAGATAAAACCACTCAGGTGTGATAAGAAATTGACATGTAAGATAATCTGTAATTTACCACTAGGTATCAGTATCTGACGGGCCGGACAGATTCTCTATTTAAACCACACACTACGATTCATACATGTCAATAAAACCCTCTTAGATTCATAAGGGAAACCTCTCACAACATACAACATGTTCAAAATGGCAATGAATTCTAACACTTCCTAAACATTTTAAGGACAAATGTCAAATTGTAGGAGAAGATTTCCTAGACTTGACACCTATTGGGGCATTAAATTGGCAGAGAAAACAGGTGGCTGTGTTAATTTTGACAACACTAAATCAAAAGAACGACATCAAATGGAATTGTCTCAAAGTCTAAGCTGTTTCACAGACAGAAAAACAACCAACGTCATGTGCTGTACATTTAGAACAATCAAGAGACAGGAGTACAATCATGTGATATATACCACTCAAAACAAGTTAGGGACCATCCAATTCATTCATATAACTATAGTTAATCTGTCGTGCCAACCACCTGATTCTGCTATATTACTATAGTTAATCTGTCATGTTATGATTTCATATTACTGTAGTTAATCTGTCATGTCATGATTTCATAATACTGTAGTTAATCTGTCATGTTATGATTTTATATTACTATAGTTAATCTGTCATGTTATGATTTTATATTACTATAGTTAATCTGTCATGTTATGATTTTATATTACTATAGTTAATCTGTCATGTTATGATTTCATATTACTGTAGTTAATCTGTCATGTCATGATTTCATAATACTGTAGTTAATCTGTCATGTCATGATTTCATAATACTGTAGTTAATCTGTCATGTCATGACAGGTTAACTACAGTAACATGAAAGAATCAAGTGGTTCTTAACTTCTTTTGAGTAGTATAGAATCTTATGTAGTCTATTTTGCATGATGCTGAATAGAATGTGATACTCCAACTCCAAGTATTCGGTAGATCTTAACATTGTCATGCATCAATGACATTTGCACATCATTTGCATGTAAACATAATGTTGGAATGGGACTATGCTTACAATTTAAAATATAATTATACCCAATCATGTTATTTTTTTAGAAAAAAGTATTTCCATTTTACAAGATGTACAAACGATATCTTAACAATCATAAAATATGTGATCAAATTCTTTCAACGGACTGAATTCCAATAAATCACAGATAAGGTCTATCAACACATGACATGTGTCACATCAGCGTCAATAACAAGCACCTGTCACTGCAATAGATATCTACTGATCCACTTACATGCTCTATGGGATATGAGCAATTGACGACGCAGATGTGAAATTAGCTAAGTCAATCTGTCATGAAATGTAATGATCACAGTTGGTTAACAATCACAATTAACATGATCTGGAACAGTTGAAATTGGCACAGGTTCAAATAACAAGTAGAATAATTTGATTATGACAAGTAATTTGCAAGGTGTAAATATCACATTATCACAATATGCAAACTGACACACTGCGCCATGACATAACAAAATGGCAATCACTGACACAGGAGTGTAAAAACAGTTAATGACAAGTTAACAATAGGATCATTTTTCAGGGAAGAATACACTCACTTGACATAATCCGTAGTAATCACACAAATAATGAACATAAATGTATGTAATAATCACACAAGTTTTCTACATCAAATAGTTAAACCTATGAATAACTTTCATGACTTTAAAACTTCCCTCACATGCTCATGAGGTGCCACATACATTGATAGATGCTGGACATTAACTGATAAGATAATCAAATAGCATACATAAATAGTATTAAAATCACAATATCATCTACTTTGATAACTCATCATACATTATTGTTTCTAAAACCATTCAAAGAAATCATCATTGTTATATTAATTGTAACAAAATTGCAATCCATTAATTGTGGGCTATAAACATAGTATCAATAAGAACTAGCGTTTTTCAATATTGTTCAATAATGTGTTCCAAAAGTGTATAATATGACTTCAGTGGGACCAGAAACAGTTCTAGTCATGTTATTGAAATCCTCATACATATACCATAAAAAAAAGTAGTGGAAAATCCAGACAACATATCATATAAGGCCCGTTTTTAGGCTCTCTCTCTCTCTCTCTCTTTAGACATAAAAATACAGTAAAACAAACTTGGGTTTCCTAGATTCGTTTACAACAATGGCCAAGTTTACACCAAGACGAAAAGTTTTTGTAAGACTCACAATTTAGTCACAAACAAGGGCATTGTCGCTCATATTTAGAAAGCATCGGTTTATCGGAATACAAATCCATAAATCAAACCAATTATACAACTTCTGCGAAATCAAAACAAATAGAACCTAGATTTTTAATTGTGAGCGCTGATGCTTTTCATTGATCAATTTTGTCACTGCTTTCCTTGCCGCATGTGTTTCTCAAAACAAACCATGTCGGATATCCCGGGCTGGCTAGACAACACCCGATCTCACACATTTCAACACATCATTGAAAATTCTGTTTGTAGAAAATGGGGGGAAATACTTTGCAATCTGTTGGCCACGTCTCGAATCAAATGGACATGGCACACTCGTCCACTTCGTAAACATTCGGAGAAGGAATACAGGTCACGCATTTAGTCAGTGTTTTCTCGCGATTACAGGGATATTCGAGTACAAATTACGCACAGACACATCAAAACAACTGTCCAGTCCTTTACTTACCAACATATGACAACTGTAGCACCAATATTAACGCTCCACATATCCTGTATATCTTATAACCCCACAACCGTACGTCCGCCATCTTTTTGTGAAGAAGATTGACCCCTAAGTTCGTGACGTCACAAGGCTGTTCCGACAAATTGACTGCCCGCCCGCTGACAAAATCTTGTGGAGTGCCTCCTCGGCGGTTGGTGCAGAAAGAACCAGCGATGTAGGTTATTTGCGACACCAAACGGAAAGCTCCCTCAAATAAGAAAGAACGGAATTATTAAACGCCAACAGCATTAAGCTGAATGCAGTACCCTCCATAATTTCAACTTCCAGAGTCGAGCGCTCGGATCAATTCTCATAATCAATTAGTATATTTGTAAGTGCACTTTCAAACACCAAGCGCACATATTCGTGGTATTTATATATTATGTGTGTAAGTAAATATATACTTGGGATTTATGTGGGATTTGTTATTTCGTCAAATGACAGAAGTACAAAGCAGCTAAGTGGAGATCGTGTGTGTATTGTGTCAAGTTGAATGTAACGTACAAAGATACACCTTGACCGGACGATTGTACTGCCAAACACGTGAATTAAGAGTACAACTTTATACATGTACGCCGATGTATCGGAAAACATATTATATACTTTTAATTCGAAAAATTATCAGGATTTCATATATTCATATTCCAAAATACTGTAATTCATTGGCAAGATTTCGATGTTCATCCCACGATTTATGCATCGAGAGAGAGAGAGAGAGAGAGAGAGAGAGAGAGAGAGAGAGAGAGAGAGAGAGAGAGAGAGAGAGAGAGAGAGAGAGAGAGTGTGTGTGTGTGTGTGTGGGGGGGGGGGGGGGGGGGGGGGGGACAAAAACTCCAAGGTCAAAATGTGTAATAGCCATGATATAGATGATGAATATCACTTTTTACTTGTATGTCCATTGTACTCCACTGTGACAAAAAAAATATATATATGTAATCCTCTTTACTAGTTTAATGATCCAAATATTGTGAAATTCCGACAATTGTTAAACAGTCTAGTTAAATTGATACTGAAAAACTTTGTCATGTATAAATCCACGCACTGTTATATAGAACCAAGTTTGTAAATAATAGTTTAAATTGTGTGCAACCACCTCTGTCATATGTATTCTAGACCCGTGGCCTCTTAAGTGCTTGAATAAAGATTGATTGATATTCCAAAATGGCTTTACCTGTAGTACTATGACTACACAAACAAATTATGAAACACATTTTATCTAACAGTTTTCTAATGTATAAACAATTATTTGATATATTTTTCATATATTTATTATATATATGAAAGAGCAGATTGTGTTTTGAAAAATTATAAATAACATTGAAAATAACATAACATATACTTTAAAAGACTTTGCCCATTCGGTTATTTTAGATTCCTATACTATCAGCTATATAGAAATATCTTCAATAAACGTATGTTTTTACTTTAAAAGTTTTAAATAAGTATTTCCAACAAATTCGATTCTAGCCTTTCTACATGTATTCGCATACGCACACTTTCACTGGATATTGTACCTTTAAGCATTGGCACGCTATTAAGAGAGCGCATTTTATACATATATAGCATCTCTTTGCCCGTCATTAAGAGAGCCGGTCTCCATCGACACACTGCGGTTTACTTGACTTAAAGGCCACGCCCGTCAAACGATATTCGTTTTGTCTGACCTATGCATCGCCTTCAGCGAGACCGGCTGACCAGACGCAAGGGCGCGGGGTGTGTTTGACACCGCCACCAGTCTGGTGGAGTTGCTTAGCTGGACATTGCCTTATTGCGAACTGACTTGAGAATGTCGAGTGAGAACCCTTCGGTGGTTGTGTGATTAAGCGGTTGACTCAAAAACACGCAAGATTTGATCGAATTTTCAGTACGTGGTGTATAGGTCGATGTGTTGGTAATAACGGATTGATACAATGTGGATTTATTTTTGTCTGGGTGCAGATTGAAATAAATATGTCAAGTATACTAAAATATATGTTTTTTGAAGATTGTTTTACAACTAACCAGTAAGATAAACACAATCAGTGAATTTCTTTGATTAATCTAGAACTAATAAGAAATTTACCGATTTGAGAGAGAGAGAGAGAGAGAGAGAGAGAGAGAGAGAGAGAGAGAGAGAGAGAGATGACCCATATTCAGCCAGTGAAATTCACATTCTCTTGAAACCAACTTTGCTTATTTCCAAAAAATAATGTTTTTTGAAGATTGTTTTACAACTAACCAGTAAGATAAACACAATCAGTGAATTTCTTTGATTAATCTAGAACTAATAAAAAAATTACCGATTTGAGAGAGAGAGAGAGAGAGAGAGAGAGAGAGAGAGAGAGAGAGAGAGAGAGAGAGAGAGAGAGAGAGAGAGATGACCCATATTCAGCCAGTGAATTTCACATTCTCTTGAAACCAACTTTGCTTATTTCCAAAAAAAATACTGAGTTAACAGCCACACAACGACGCTATGGGCCATAACAGCCCGGCTCCAACAGTCAGACACTGTAGTCTTTTAAGTTTTTTATGCCCAAATCAAACATAGAAATTACAAATTAAATCAAGAAAAAGGTTACAAGTTTTATATGTATAAAACATCGATGTGACAGTTATGTTACAATGTCATTCAATCTGTTTTAACACGACGGCGTCTTTCCCTTTATCTTAAAACACTTTCTGCTGACAACAGACACGGGAAGTGTCAAGGTTGTTGCTTATGGCGTGAAGGTTTTGTGAGCCCTTTGATAAAGACGAATATAGCCTGAAGAGCCTATCTGGGAATCATTTCAAATAGCCGTCGGGATTAGGAAGATAACGTATTGTCTAATTTCGTTACTCCGGACCTTTCCTTGGCGCCGATAATCCTGGAGTGATCATTAATTAACTGTCACGTTGTTTGAGATGTCGGGCTGCGGGGAACGGTACGCGGTGTGTTAATTTCACACGCACGTGTCAATTGCATATTGTGTGACAGCAGTGACAGTCACACGATGACGTATAACAATTTGTTGGGCATAAGTGGGATATAGATGGTTTTATGTGTACATTAATGTCGCAAATAAATCAAATAATATGAGAATTGTACAATTGGTCACATGGTTGCACTTATACATGTTGTTTTTTTATTACTTGCTTGATAACATTGTTTTAGACTATGGAATCAACATAGAGAAGTGTATTAAAAACTGATCACCTACACTATCTTCAGTAGGGGGCACGGGGTACGGGACCAATCCACTGGCCCAGGCCCTGAAAATGTCTTCATAGGGGTCTTAAGTTTTATCACTTATGTATTATGACTACACATGGACATCAATGACTACACATGGGCATCAATGACTACACATGGGCATCAATGACTACACATGGACATCAATGACTACACATGGACATCAATGACTACACATGGAAGTCAATGACTACACATGGGCATCAGTGGCTACACATGGGCATCAATGACTACACATGGACATCAATGACTACACATGGGCATCAATGACTACACATGGACATCAATGACTACACATGGAAGTCAATGACTACACATGGGCATCAATGACTACACATGGACATCAATGACTACACATGGAAGTCAATGACTACACATGGGCATCAGTGGCTACACATGGGCATCAATGACTACACATGGACATCAATGACTACACATGGGCATCAATGACTACACATGGACATCAATGACTACACATGGAAGTCAATGACTACACATGGGCATCAGTGGCTACACATGGAAGTCAATGAGTGCACATGGACATCAAAGGCTACACATGGACATCAGTGGCTACACATGGACATCAATGACTACACATGGAAGTCAATGACTACACATGGGCATCAATGACTACACATGGGCATCAATGACTACACATGGACATCAATGACTACACATGGACATCAACGGCTACACATGGACATCAATGGCTACACATGGACATCAATGACTACACATGGGCATCAATGACTACACATGGAAGTCAATGAGTGCACATGGACATCAATGGCTACACATGGGCATCAATGACTACACATGGAAGTCAATGAGTGCACATGGACATCAACGGCTACACATGGACATCAGTGGCTACACATGGACATCAGTGAGTACACATGGACATCACTGGCTAAACATGGACATCAATGACTATACATGGAGATTAGTTACTACACATGGGTATCATTGACTACATATGGGTATCATTGACTACATATGGGTATCATTGACTACATATGGGCATCAATGACTACACATGGGAATCAATGATTACATATGGGCATCAATGACTGCACATGCTATCTGTGGTCTATTACACTCTTAAATAAAAGAAACGCACATATATTTTTAGTAAATTTATCGTACCTAATAAAGTCGATATATTTCATTTGATATCATACATACAAATAAGACATTTTGGAGCTCGATAGTCACATGATGTCGTTGTACAAAAGCATTGAAAACTTTTCATTGTCATGTCACATAAGGCCACAAGGTATCTCGTGTGACCGCCCCGGGCAGCAATCACGGCTCTGCATCTCCTCGGCACTGACTGGATAAGTGTACGAATTCTGTCTTGCGGAATTCTGCGCCATTCTGTTTGCAACGCGTTGGCCAGTTGTGGGAGTGTCTGTGGTTGACGTACACGTCGATCGAGTTCACCCCAGAGGTGTTCGATTGGGCTGAGATCTGGAGATCTCGAAGGCCAGGGCAAGGCGTTGATGTTTGCATTATGAAGGTAGACTACCGCTGTAAGGTATGGCACCAACCAATCTCATTAAAATCAGATCTTAGTTCTCGCTACCGCTAAACAAAGATCTGAGGACATCCCATTAGGGGTCACGTCCGAACAACCTTTTATCCGACCAATCACTGCGTCGCTTACCAGATCATGAAAGTGACAATCGGAATGTGATTTCTAATCATGCAACCTCGAAAAATTTAAAACGGGGTATTCCGAAAGATATTAACGGGCTTAATGACTGAATCTATACAATCGAGACCATATATTAGCCATTCGAGAATGTTCTTTTTTTCAGGTTTCGATTTTCTAAGCGAGAATTTGTCAAAATATGTTTCGAA